CCCGTGCGGCCCCGATCCATCTCATTGTTTTCCCATTTTTGGTTCCATTTCTTTTCCATTTTTGGTTCCATTTTTCCATGTTTTTTTGATTTTTTTCCCAAATGCTTCAGGGAATTTGTGGTTTTTCCAGGATGGAGGCCCCCTCGGCCGGGGCCCAAATCCCACCCGCACGCAATGGAAAAAAAATGGGGAAAAAAACAAATTCAGAATGCTTGTCCAGGGTGGTCCTTTTTTGAACCTGTCGCCCCTGATGCCCTGGCCCTGGCAGTTTTTGTTTGTTTGCATTTGATTTATTTTTGTTTTTTTTTCCATGTTTGGTTTTGTTTTTTTTTTGGTTGTTTTTCCATTCCCTGGGTCGGTCCTGGTCTCTTGTTTTGATTTTTGGTTCCATTATTTTTCCATTTCTTTTCCATTTTTATTGTTCGTGGTTTTCATAGAGTTATCAGGCGAGGGGCCATCTTAAGTTTAGGGTTTAGGGATTTAGGGTTCAGGGTCTAGGGTTTCGGGATTTAGAAGAAGTTATGAAGTTCGTATTGTCATATACAGGCAAGATGCAAACTGTAAACTCATCACACTTTTCTAGAATCCCATAGAACCCTTACAACACCCATGTCCCAATACAAGCCTCATGAAGCCACCGCCCAAACCTTTTAAGACCTCAAAAAGCCTCCATATTTTAGGATAAAGCCCTCAACCCTAAGCTTTTAAGTCCTGAACCGCATTTAGAGGATCATGGGACTTAGTAACGGAGGTTGTAAATAAGGTAACTATACTTATAATTACTTATAACCCCAATTAAGGTACTTATAACCCTACTTACTAAGTCCCAAGATCCTCCAAGTAAGTCAGTCGAGATCCAAGAGGTGCAGGGCATCTCGGGAATCCTTCATTTGGCCGGAGTGCTCGATGATGGGGTCGTCGGAGGCCGCGACAGAGGGTTTAGCTGGGTGTTTTATGGGGTTGCAGGGCGCTTTACGGGGTTATGGGGTCCTAGGGTGATTGACAGGATTTCGCACCGTCTTGGCTTACGCCTTTTTGCGTGTTTGCTTCAGGGTTTTGAGGTGGTGTTAAGGGTTTGGGATGGGGCGTTTAGGATTTTGGAGGTTTAGGCCTGGGCTCCTAGACCCTAAATGGTTTAGGGAACCCTAAACCCTAAACCCCAAACCTTGAACCCTAAACTCTAAATCCTAAACCCGAAACCCTAAACTTAGGGTTTGGGAAACCTGAACCCTAAACCCTGAACCAAAGGGCAAGGCTCATAAAGCAGTTTCGGGTGTTAGGGCTTATGGCTTTAGGGCTTTAGGGCTTTAGGGCTTTACGGTTTAGGGTTTAGGGTTTGGGGCTTTAGGGCTTTGGGTTTAGGGTTCCTTAAAGGGTTGGTTTAGGGTTTAGGGGTTGTGGCTTTAGGGCTTCGGGTTTAGGGTTCCC